GTTATATGTGTATCAACGCATACATTTCCACATTAATTGAGTTATTAATTTATTTCCGTATTTTTACATTTACACATCTATTTATTTCTGTGTCCAGGTCGTAAGAGGAAAAGTATATATGTAAATTTGCCTCTGTCTGTTTTTCAAAATTGACCAATCCTACTTCAGTAATGTTAAGACGGCCCACTTAATATTTACTTTTCCTTGTACAACATGGACACAGAAATACATAAATAAATATATGAATATATTTATTTATGTATTTATTTATATATTTATTGATGCATTTATTTAATTATTTATTTATTTATACATTATTGTATGCATTTCTCCCAACATTTATTTATTTATTTATACTTTAGTCATTTGTTGTTCCTCATAGTTTTGCAACTGTCCCTGCAATTTAATATTTATAGTCTGTGTCTAAGGGCTCACTGTAAATATTCCGGGCTACGGTCGGTGCTTCTTTTTGATCAGGCAGTGCGCGGGACGGACGCGGGTCCTCATTCTCTGTATTTTGAAACCGTCGCGGTGAAGACACCTAGCAGCAGCAACAGCAGCAGGAGGTGGAGGTGAGAATCAATTTTATTATTTTAACTGAACATACTACTGCTAACAGAAGTACATCATCACAGCGTTTGGTACGGTAACACTTTAATACCGGTGTTCTCGCCTGACGTAGTGACGTATTGACGTTCGCTTTAGCTGACCGGCGGCTCGATGTAGCTACTTTGCTAATGTGGCTAATGTCTATTAGCATGTCATATATTCAGAGCAAGTTTCTCTCCTGTATTTTAGTTTGCCTCCATCTTTAATGGAAAGTGACGTGTGCAGGTCTCTCATGTTGTCTTTATCTGTGTTTTAATGTCTTAATCATGATGTCTCATAAATAATATCTCTTTATATCCTCTTCTATTGAGAGCATGATGATGCGTTCATGACTGCGGGACAGACAAGTTCTCTGTGTTATTATACAAGGACAGTGTGAGATAAGATCGTGTTCCTCTGGGACTGTGATACTACTCAAGACATTAATTAAGACTAACATGGTATAAACTTGTGATTGAATGAAGTGAAGGTGGCTGTAATAGGTAATTTGTAAAAAGTGGCGGCTGGCGCATTTTATCACATTATGTATCACTCTTCCTCAGCCAGGAGCTCTGAATACCTTTAACTAACATTTACAGCTGACAGAGTTTTTCTGTATTTGTCTATTTCAAACCTCAGAATCACACAACAGACTCTCATTTCACTGCTTTCATGATAATATTACTTTTATTTTAACATACACTAAATGTACATACTGCAAATGCTCTGTGGTAACCATGGACACCAACAGGGTGCAGTAGAATAGAATGCTTGGGTTGCTAGGCAACAGTTTAGTTTAATTGTGGAACTAGTTGAGTTGGGGGAGTTAAAAAAAAAAAAAAAAACTGTTGTTGATATTTATTTACTATGAACTAGGGCAGGGCGGTATGGACCAAAACTCATCTCGATATTTTTTCACTGAATGGCGATACTCGATATATATCGATATGTCTTTTATTAACAGTCAGTTGCACAAGTTCAACATGTACATGTAAACAAACTACCTGTTTATGAAATTAATTCATTTTCTGCATAACACAATAAACACAGTTTTGTGTTTTGTTATCATTTAGTTTGTTGAGTTTGGCTCAGAGAGAGAGAGAGGAGCAGGGTGAAGAGGGAGAGACGATGACATGAGAAATAGGTGAACTGGCAGCTCCACAGAAGAAACGTATAAAGTTGTTTTAATGCAACATGAACTATATCGATATTAACGATATTGTCCTACCCTATATCTGGATTAAAAATACATCGAAATATCTTAAAAACTCGATATATCACCCAGCCCTACTATAAACCACTACTTTCTGCTTGTATTAGGCCCCGTGTCCACCTAGCATGTTTTTCTCCTGGCAGGAAAGCGCTGGCTGTACACTCGGGAGTGTTTGCATGAAGTGTTTGTTCGCTGAGAAGAAAAGCACTGCACGTCTGTCCTGTTTCTGTGACAACAGTCTGTTGACAATGGCCATTCTATGACCGAAGATGCTCCGTTACTTACTACTGCATATTTTTTATTTTAGATATTTTATTTCCCCCTTGGTGTGTCAGGGCCTTAAGGTTTCAATACTCCCAGGATGTCAGAAGAAGGGGCACTTTGTGCACTTTGTCTCAATAAGTTCAACCACATGGCTTACTCTTTAAGTTACCATGCACAGGATGTGTCTCTGCTGCAAGCTGCTGGGTGGTTGATTTCAAGAGTGCAATATCCTGCGCTACAATCAAATATCTCCTGGGCAACTTTTAACCAGTGTCAATGGAGGCCCAGGAGTCTTAACACCCTGAATACCAGAAACACATCACCAATCATTAACTTTTATAGTTAAACAAATGTTTTAAAATCATATTCAGTGAACTGAAGGTCTGTCATTCCCCTTGTGGTGCGGCGCCCTCTACTGACCAGCTGACCACTGCCAAGTAACTAACAGTTAAAATAAAGTGACTAAAACAGATAAAGAGACAAGAAGCAAGGTAACAAGAAACTGTTAAAGTTAATTTTAAAGTGGCATAGGGAAGTTAAAGGACAAGAGTAGCATTCACTGATCTCCTTGGACTTATAAAGTGCAGCCAGTATACAGTATCCACATTATACAGTGTTTCCCCGAACATTCATTTGGGGTGGTGACCTTACAACAAAAAAAAAAAAACTGAAAACAAATTGTTGTGCCTTTTTCCAGGTGGCAGGAGGGTAAAGAGTTTGTGGGAGGGGTGGGAGGGGTCAGCGACAATCCTGTTGGCTCTGCTGTGGCAACGTGAGAGATAAATGTCCTTGATGGCTGGCAGAGAGAGGTCCCTGTGATCTTGTCAGCTGTTCTCACTATCCTTTGTGAGGTCTTGCGGTCTGAGGTGGTGCCATTTCCGAACCAGGAGGTGATACAGCAGCTCAGGGTGCTCTTTACAGCCCCTCTGTAAAATGTGGTGAGGATGGGGGGTGGGAGGTTTGCCTTCTTCAGCCTACTAAGGAAGAAGAGGCTTGTGTTGAGGGACCAGGTGTGGTCGTCTGGGAGGTGGACTTATTAGCGTATTTCTACAGTTATGTGTATCAACGCATACATTTCCACATTAATTGAGTTATTAATTTATTTCCGTATTTTTACATTTACACATCTATTTATATAGTCTTAACATCCTCCACACACGACCCGTTGATGTCCAGTGGGGATTGGTCGCCTTGTGCTCTGGTGCTTAATAACAGAGGCTCACTCAGATTACAAATTTAAGATGATCTCTGTTTTGATTTAAAGGTCCCATATTCTGCTTTTTCTGGTTTTATATGCTCTTTAGTGTGTTTTCCAAGTGTCCTGTGCATGTTTAGGCACATCTTTGTGCAAAAATTCGAAGTCCGTGGAAACGCGGCTTCTCCTACGTCCTCCTGTTAGCTGTAGCATTAGCCACATGTAACGCTCGGTTCTAGCCCCCCTCGAAAAAAATTTGTCAGTTCAGGGTGTCATTGTCAGTGTGAGATCACTGATCTAAGTCCATTGGGTCGTTGTGACAAGCCCAGCAGCTCATGTTGAAATTTCCGAGAACCGTGCTGAGCAACTGACCAATAACAACAGAGCGGATCGGCAGACCAATCAGAGCAGACTTTGGGTCTAACAGTGGGGGCTCAACAGAGCATAGCTGACGGACTCAGAGTGTAGAGGGAGCAAGGAGGAGCAGTACATGAAAACAGATACTTTTTTCAAACTTTAGCTATTGTGAAGGTACAAAAGTAGGAACATAGATTAAATATACAAACCCCAAAAAGGGCAGAATATGGGCTCTTTAATATTTTTATTAATTTTTAGCATTAATGGCCCCAACAGAACTGAGAAAGTAAAAAAAAAAAGGTTTGACAGGAATACGTTGTCCTAAAGTGTGTTTCTCAAAAAAAGCGTACTAAATATAATTGAATTTTTTTGTATGTATTAAAATTGTATTTGGTGGTGACAGGGTTAATTTTGAAATAACATTTAAATTCAATGGAGCTGAAATAGAGTTTATGATATAAATATATGGAGTTTTAACACGCATTTCTGACTTTAAATCAAACATGACGTTCTCCAGTATAGGTTCATAATATATTATATATTATATTATATTATATTATATATTAGACTTAAAATTGCACTTTTCTAAATACTCAGACGCTTAACAAATATACAAAAACAAAACAAAGAAGAACTAATGTGAGAGAAGGAGGATGAGAACATGATTTCTTAAAGGTGAGTAGTGAGGGGAAGTCTCTGATGTTTTTGGGATTGAGTTCCAGAGGGTGGAAGCAGCAATGGAGAAGGCCCCTCCTGCAGGGGGGTGACAGGAGGTTGGATCAGCAGAAGTGAGTTGGAGGAGCTCAGACAGGTATGGGGGGAGATTTAAGATTTACTTTTAATCCCTGCAAGTGGAAATTTCAGTTGTTACACTCTGTAAATCATGAATACACACATGCAGAAACAGCACATGAGCTGATAGTGGTGAGGGGGTTTGGTGATCCGGCACCTCTCCAGCTACCAGACCAACCTCCATATTTTGTCCACACCGGGACTTGAACCAGCGACCCTCTGGTTCCCAACCCAGGTCCCTACAGACTGAGCTACTGCCTCCCCAAACTGTTCCTGTCACCTCAAGCGGACACGTCTGAGTTTTCCCACAGACCTGGAATGCAGCGTGAGCCCTCCCTTGAAACTGCGCATGCGCACAACGTGTTGTAAACAATGAGACTTGAGACCGTCTCCAGCAGCTTTGTGTCTGTCCAACAGTTTATCAGAAATAAAAGTCACAGCGTGTCCTGCTCCCTCCGCGGGTATTTAACAGACATGTTCTGTGGTGAGTACAGGACACATTTGTTAGCACACGTCATCACGTACACTTTGATTCTAAGGAACACGGAGCACGTTTTTTTTTTTTTTTTTTACTGTTGTCCGAAAACACCTCGAATGACAAACTTGGGCGTGACAGCAGCGAGTGAACCGACTGATGTGTTGTTTTAATGTGTCCGGCTTTCAATGTTTTCGCTTCTTTTCATGTTCTGGATAAACTGTGAGTGTTATTCACTCAGTCGAGACTTTAATCTGAGCCCTTTACATCATGCTAGCTTTGACAGGAGCTTTCATGGTTAGCATGCTAGCTAGCAGGTGCTAGTTCCAAATACATATGGTTGATTCTGATATCAATTTATATCAGTGTTATATCTGTTTTATCATTTATATCTGTTATATGCAGTTATATCTGTGTTATCATTTATTTAATTTATATACTGTTATACCAGATCTATCTGTGTTATATCTGTGTTGTTAGTTATACAGGTCAGTAACATGAGCAGCACCTGCTCAGTGGTAGAGTCTGTCGTCTCTTAACTGGAGTGTCTCTAGGGTTTGATCCCCAGCTCCTGCAGCCATATGTTGATGTGTCCTTGGGCAAGACACTTAACCCCAAATTGCTCCCTCTGATGATCAGCGGTGTGTGATTGGATGAGTTAATACTGATGGACTCTTTACTCAGCAGCCTCTACCATCAGTGTGTGAATGTGTATGAATGGATGAGTTAATACTGATGGACTCTTTACTCAGCAGCCTCTACCATCAGTGTGTGAATGTGTATGAATGGATGAGTTAATACTGATGGACTCTTTACTCAGCAGCCTCTACCATCAGTGTGTGAATGTGTATGAATGGATGAGTTAATACTGATGGACTCTTTACTCAGCAGCCTCTACCATCAGTGTGTGAATGTGTATGAATGGATGAGTTAATACTGATGGACTCTTTACTCAGCAGCCTCTACCATCAGTGTGTGAATGTGTATGAATGGATGAGTTAATACTGATGGACTCTTTACTCAGCAGCCTCTACCATCAGTGTGTGAATGTGTATGAATGGATGAGTTAATACTGATGGACTCTTTACTCAGCAGCCTCTACCATCAGTGTGTGACCTGGACTGTAAAAGTGGACTGTAAAAGTGCTTTGAGTAGTCAGAAGACTAGAAATATACACTCTCAAGTCCATTTATCATCTATTGTGAACACGGCTTCCAATCTCTGTGAAATAGGATTCAGCGAATGGAAAAAATGTTCTGCAAACACTTCATGAAGAATAATATTGAATCATAGTTGTGCAGAGCAGACACAAATGATTTGTGCAGACATTTCAAGCCAACAATGACTTTTTTCAGTACTAAGTGAGACATGTGTGTTGAGTTTGTCTACATGTGGTCACCTCCACAGGTGCATCCAATCTGTTATTAAGGCTCTACACCTGCTGAATTCTCAGCATGTGGAGAAGCTGCTGCACAAGTGGCCGTGTGATTTCAAACATCTTGTGGGCTTTAAACTTTAAAAGAACGTCTCACAAATTATCACACATATGCTAATTTCATAGTGCTCATAATTACACAATGGCTGTCTGGATTCTATGATTTACTTTTTTTTCCTCCATTTTGTTGGATCAACCAATCACAGCTCCTGAAATAATGTGTCATACCTAGCAACGATAAACAAGATAAAAGTTTCTGTCTCTTCCTTGCTCAGAGAAATTCTTTTAGTCTCAATGACTTTCATTATAGTTTTATTTTCTTACATTGAAGAAACGGGTATTTGACTGTGTTGGACTACTAATAGTAATAATAATTAATATTATAATTAATAATTGATTTTAAAACAAACGAAAATGTATGGTTTTTGCTAATATAGAGGAACTTTAATAAGACGCTCGTGATAAGTATCATATTTCCGTCAGTGGTTGTTTAGTCTACTAAAAGCTAGCCTACTGTTTAACATTGCTAAAGTGTATTGTGTGTGTGTTGTAGGGAGCTGAAGCATGGAGGCAGTTCTGAGCAGGCTGCGGGGGCTGACTTCTGATGAACTGCGCGAGGAGTTTGCCAGGGCAGACCTCAAGTGCGGCCCCATCACAGCCACCACGCGAGCCACCTTCGAGAGGAAGTTAGCCCGAGTCCTGGCCGGGTCAGAGAGCAGCGCTGCTGAATCCGACAACAGCTCTTCAGCAGGAGGAGTCTCGGGCAGTGCGGCCTGTGTGGCTGAACATGCCAAATCTATGTCGTGTGCCACAGCAGTTGCATCAACTTCTGCAAGCGGCAAACCCCCTGAGACTGCCACTGATGAGTCAGACTTTGGTTACGGTGTGGGTCTTAACCCTCCAGAGGAAGAGGGGATTGCCGTCAAGGCCTCGCACTGCTCTGCTGAAGGCAGCAACTCTCAGTCCAAAACAGAAACACCTTCAAAACTGGCACAAGTGTCCCCAACCTTTTTTTACGGTGTCTGTCCTCTTTGGGAGGACGTTCTGGCTAGAAACGGTAAGAAAGACTCGCCCATGTTCTTTATCTGATGTCAAACGCATTGCTGTTATATATTGATACTTTTTAAAAGTGACATCCCACTCCAAGAATATGTGACAGGGGGTTTTAGATTAAGAAATGACCGAGTCTGATGTGTGGAAACTCTCTCTCTCTCTCTCTCTCCCAATTTCTGACTCTGTCGACTCTCCTGTCTCTAAACTAAAGGCATAAAAAGCCTCAAAAATAAAACAAGATTAATTGTCAACTTCTCTTGAGTCACATAGTTCACACAGTCTTCCTCCTCTGGGATGCTATTATATGTATGTCTTTGTTAATATATAATCTTCTCTTCTCTGTGGTGCCTTGTTCTATTTGTTTAAGGATTATTTGCTGCTCGTGTAGTCTGACATCCACATGTGTTTGCTAAGTGGATGAAAACATTTGATGTTCTTTTCTTTGGCAGTAAGAAGCAGCACAGTAGGACTCCCTGACCTCTCTGATGTAGAGTATTGATCTCAATTAATGTTGAAAATCAATGCGGGGGATGTTAGTCTGACAGGGGAGGCTTTATATATATCTATAAGTTTACAGAGTGACGATGCAAAGAAAGGATATAGAAAGATAAATATACTGATCTGGTGTGTTTTTTTTGTTTTTCTGCAGAAAGAGCACATGTGTACACGGATAAGAAAGATGCCCTTCAAGCAGTAAAGATAATGAAGGGAGCCCGCTTCAAAGCCTTTCCCAACCGCGAGGACGCTGAGAAGTTCGCTAAAGGGATCTGTGACTATTTCCCCTCTCCCAACAAATCTGCACCCTGCGTGTCTCCAGTCAAACCAGGCCTGGTCAGCAGTAAAGGTAAATACACGCTACAGTCAGACTCCTTTGCAAAAGATGACACGACAGCCGTTCTCACACATGAACTCCTGAACGTTTCGAGAAGATTTCAGTCTTCGCCTCAAATCTGGACAGGAGGCGGGGATCTGAGGAGGCATGACGTGCAAAGAAAGATGTGGAAGTGACAGACTCTGTTGCAGAAGAAGCAACAGAAACTTTTGGCTGATGCTACGTCTAGCTCAACACATTCACATTAACAACAGAAGAGCGGAGATGAACATATTGGCAAACAGACAACACTGAGGGAGTTTCGTTACATGCATGGAGATCCCACAGGTTGTGTGCATACAGGTCATAAGATATAAACGTCACCACCCCCCCCCCTCGCTCCTGGTGAATTTTCCTTTAAGTATTTCCCGCTGCATTCTCACATCAGATCACCCCGATTTAAAACGGAAAATTCACTCGGGGCCTAACAGGAGAAACTCAAGGTAAAGTCAAAGTGAAACATTTGCACGTCAGGAAGTTATCAGGAGTTTTGTGCAAATGTTAAAGCGTCATAATTGATTCCCTCTATCATACATTCATCTGTTCAGGTGTCTGTGAGGTATGGCACGCTGATCTGCTGGGTCATGCAGAAGGCCAGAGCTCTCAGGAACATGCACAGAAGAGAGCATATTTTTTTAAAAGATTTATTTTTGGGCTTTTTGTGCCTTTAATGGAGAGATAGGACAGTGGATAGAGTTGGAAATCAGGGAGAGAGAGAGAGTGGGGAATGACATGCGGGAAAGGAGCCACAGGCTGGACTCGAACCCGGGCCACCCGCATGGGGCGCGCCCACTAACCACTGCGCCCCAAGAGCAGCAGGGTTGAAACTGAAGTCATGGTTTAAAGCTCACTGCATCACTGAAGAACTAATGCTACATGTATAATAAAGTGTGCACCTGTTTCCCTAATGGGCAAACTTTTCATGCCTGCCAGTAGAAGAAATTCTGTAGTTTTTAAATCTATTGTGTGGATTGTTTCTCATTTTCTGCATATTGTCTGAAGGCTGCCAGTCCATCTTGGTAGGAGCATTTATCCACAGGATCATTAGCCTACTCTGCACTGACTTATTGTTCCTGCCTTTAATTGAAGTGCTCTCTTTGAACTAATTTTCATACAAAATGTGATTTAGTGATGAGATCCTCCGAGTTTTGAAAGGCCAATAGTTTCTGACGTATCATCTGAAGCGAGTAGGTGAACGTTGTCACCACACCAGCCTTGAACTCTATTTTTGTAACATCTGTGTCTGTCCTTCGCTCTCTCTTCTCCCCTTCCACACCAGACAACATGGAGGTTGACACCATCAACCGGGAGCGAGCAAACAGTTTCAAGAGCCCCCGCACCCAGGACCTGACCGCCAAACTGAGGAAAGCTGTGGAGAAGGGAGACGAGTTGACCTTCAGCGATCTGGTGTGGAGCAACCCCAGATACCTCATTGGCTCAGGAGATAATCCCACCATAGTGCAGGTGAGCACAGAAAGTTACCTGTCTGGCCCCGTTTCCTGAACAGGGGTAACCTGAGGTCGAATGGAGAGGCCGCCATGCTTGAGCTTGTTGTAGATTTCCCTGTTGTGCTTTCTCACACTCTGGAAACGCTTAGCTCTTAATAGAGATGAATAGTCTAACTTGGAAAGTATTTTCCAACCTCTCAGCTGGAGCTCTTATCCAGTTTGCAGCCGCTAATATGAAGACAATTATTGTTACCTGTTGTGTTAATGCTTAAAAAGACGCAGTCATGATTTTTCTTTAATTAAACCATGCAATCAGTCTTAAGAAGTCATGCATATTCAGTGCTTTTTTGATACCTTTATTATGAATTTGAAATAAACACAAGATACTTCTGCCCTAATGAAAGGATGGGCGCTTAGCGTAGACACCCCCTCATCCCAATTATGCCCCCTATGCCCTACTGATACATTACTTAAAACGCCTGATGGCCCTTAGTTGCCACAGCAACCAAGACAGCATTGCCACCTTCGACAGACCCAGGCTGTTAGTGACAATGCCGATACTCCCTACCCTCCCACATGGCGACATCCGGCCCCCACAACTCAACCGTGTAGGCTGATGGACACCAAGAGCCAGGACATCATTGGGTTGTCAAGTGGGAACTTCCCTTCAAAGATGTTTCATCCGATTAGTCCCACGACACCTCAGGAAGGCCGGATAGGGAGCTCCAGCATCCCAGAGTCCCCCCCCCTCCATGGAGGTTTATTATGTCTTAAGCCCTTGCATTATAATATTCAGGAGTTTTGATTTCAGCATTTGACGTTCAGGTGAAATGATGCTTGTGGACAAAGTTAAGCATCCTTGTTCCTCTGATTTCCCTGATTAGGAGGGCTGCAGGTACAACGTCATGCATGTGGCAGCAAAGGAGAACCAGGCGGGAATTGTCCAGCTGCTGCTGGACACCTTGGAAAACCCAGAGTTCATGCGACTCATGTACCCGGATGACCAGGAACTCATGCTGCAGAAACGTATCCGCTACATCGTAGATCTTTACCTCAACACCCCAGATAAGGCGGTAAGTTATTTCTACCAAAGCAGCCTCACATGGTCTGATTATTATCTTTAATTCATCTTTGTCCTGCTCTGTTTGTGTGCATCAGGGCTTTGAAACACCGCTCCACTTTGCCTGTAAGTTTGGATGCCCGGAGGTGGTCAATGTCCTGTGCTCGCATCCCGACATGGATAAGAACTGTCGGAACAAAGACGGTCAGAAGCCTTGTGATGTAAGGAGTTTGATTTCTATCCCCTTGTTAGCTATGTTAACTGACCCACTGTACTGATTAGAGCTCTCAAGAACTGCCGTAAATGTTGTGCTTTGCCTCTGGTCACTTCCTGTCAGCACCTGTGTGTCCAATCAGACTCAAAGCTGATCGTTTGCTCTTACTCACATTGTTCCCTTTTTTCTAGATCCTTGCTTGTGTTGTACTTACTCTCTGATGTACGTCGCTTTGGATAAAAGCGTCTGCTAAGTGAATTGTAGAATTGTAGAAATGTTAACATGCAGACTGTGTAAGAACACATTCAGCGTAGCCCCTGTTTTTCATTCTACAGATGGTTTTAAATGTACATACACATATGGGAGTAGTTCCTCAGCCTCACTGAGTACAGCTGACATCATGCCAGTAGCTGCTGACGGAGGTGCGGCTATGCTTACTCAGGTTTTGAAGCCGTGACCTTTAAGCTTGCTTTTTAAATCTTTGGCAACATTCGGTGGGTGCATAGTGAAGGCTAAACATAGACGGGCATGAACACGTTCTCTCCCCTGATAATCCAACAACAAGGTTGATGTTCTCCGCTGTACAAACACCCCATAATCTTTTCTTTCTCTCTCTCCTAACTGCAGCTCATTTGTAGCAGAAAAAATAAAACCCAAGAAGTGAAGCAGAAGATATGTGACTATTTAGAGGGTAAGAGTTTTCATCACAAGGTTACATGTTTCCTGAACGCCCATGACACAGAGAGAGAGAGAGAGAGCATGCTTTAATAAGAGCAACATGTTGCTTCATGTAGTTTATATTTGGCTGTGTGCTTTGATATGATTGATGGATTTCTTGACTGATAGCACCATATGCACTGACCAAAATAGATTTTATTTTCAAGTACACTGCCAGCTCTAAGTTTGATTCCCATTGTCTTTAAAGGAAGAATGTGTGACTTTTTGATCCAGTAGATGTCACTCTTGAGCTCCAACATGAAACCAAAACAAACTGCTGTTTGGAGACACCTCCACTATTCTGAATCTCGTGTTCACACAAAGGAGTTATCAATTAGAACGTACCATAATTAAGCACCATTAAGGGCTTTTCAGATAGGATGAGGTGCATGCTGCGGCAGGAAAATTGTCCTTTGCTTAAGCTGCAGTTGCCTGTGTCCTGCATTGTTGTGTTAGCATGCTAATGTTAGCACACTTTGGTTAGCTTCATATTGCATAGGAATTGACACAGAATGACTGTGAACCACAAACACTTATGTGACATCCAAATAATCAGTGAGTATGTTCTTTTTGTTTCTCTAGTCCTTGAATAAATTAGCTTTATATGTAAGGACGTCCCGTCCATGTAACACGGCTTAGACAACAGAACAGCTGGCGGGACTCGAGCTTCTCCCTCATTGTAGACAGTCATGACTCAGAGAGACTTGATTTCTGCTGTATGTATGTGTAATATGCTGCACATTCTTCCTTTAAAACACGCTATTTTCTTTGTGTATCGCTCTGTGAATAAGACCCTTTCGACTTGTTATCCAACGGTAAACTTTAAATTGCTCATTGTGTTGTAGACCGCTGCTACATCCCTTTGCTGAGGGCGACAGACAACACCTCTCAGCCTATCATCGGTGCTCTTTGGTCCCCCGAGACCTCAGAAAGTCTGTCACAGATCCAGCGGCAATCAAGAAGCCCCATGGACCCCCTGATGACCGTCACAGCCTTTGCTGGCCCACTGAGCCCATCAAAGGCAAGTCCTATACCTGATGACCTGATATCACTGTATCATTCAAACACCTTTAATGACTAGAATATATCGTCTTCTCCTGTAGGCAGACGATTTCCGGCGGTCCTGGAAGACGCCGCCCAGAAACCGAGCGGAACACTTTCACCACATTCTGAAGTCTGATCCCGACCGTGGGGCAGAGAGAGTGGGCAGGTGAGACCAACACCTTCCTTTGCTTTCATTCTGTATTGTGATCCTCCTGAAGGCTTATTGGCCTGCTGTCAACCTTGCTACAGGAACCGGCAGCACAAACAGGTCTTTGTTGATTCTGGACCCACTGGGCCATGTGCCCCACAGCCTTGGCTCAGAGCTGGTTAGTCCTTTGTTTAACATCTTGACGCTGTCTCATTCACATTCAGAGCGATCCTCGCTGACGTAAACATGCTGCACACAATCATCGAAACACTTTGTCAGTAAAATGTAATTCAGCAGGACCTCAAGCCCTTCAGTTGAATCAGAATCTTTATTCAAAACTTCCAACAGACACCGTGATGAAGCTAAAATACTCACTGTTGCATTGGTCAACATGATTTTAAGATCTAACAAACTAGGAACTGTGAGTAATTCCTTTTGGTCTCCACTCTATGCACTCAGTACAAGGAGAATAGATAAATCAGTTTTGATTAAAAAAAAATGAAGCGGAGCTGGTGGCGCAGTGGTTAGTGCACGCGCCCCACGTATGGAGGCTGTAGTCCCAGCGTTCAAATCCGACCTATGACTCCTTTGCCCCGCATGTCATTCCCCACTCTCTCTCTCTCCCTGATTTCCAACTCTATCCACTGTTCTATCTCTCGAATAAAGGTACAACACAGCAAATAAAATCTTACTTTTTTTCTTTTTTTTTTTAAATCATGAAGCCTGGACGCACTGATAGCCTAGCGGTTATGTTGTGTGCCCCATGTACTGAGACTATAGTCCTCGTTGCAGCGGCCATGGGTTCAAATTCGACCTGTGCCCTTTGCCGCATGTCATCCCCCCACTCTCTCCTCCCAACTTTTCTTGTCTTTCTTCAGCTCTCCTTCTCTGATAAAAGGCAAAAGTATTTGTCTTGAAAGTGTCAAAATTAGCATCAGAAATGTCTCATAAATAAACTTGTCTGCCTGCTTTATAATGTTTTAATGTGGATGAATAATTTCTGGAACATAAGCAAATATTTGATATGAGGCTTCTTACCTTTTTAATCCACTGTTGAAAACTTAAGAGATGGCACTGTGGTATTTTTTCAGTCTATATAGTCACTATTGAGGTTGTTATTCTTAAAATGTGTCTTTTAATATCGTTGCTCCAACACTTTGGAGCTCTGCCTTTGGGTTTAAGGTTTGTCGGCACTGCTGACTCTTTTGTTTAGACTAAAGCTTCTGCTTGATCTGTTGTGTAGATTGTTGTTTTTATTCTTTTTATAAAGCACTTTGTGATTTTTTTGGTCCTGAAAGGTGCTCTATCAATAAATGTGTTGTTATCAAAAACTAATGAAATAATAAAACAGGCTTTACTTTAAAAAATAGAAAAGAATGTGCAACATTTTACACCTAAATATATCACAAATCAATTACCGGTATATCCTGTGTAAATGTGTCTCTCAGTAATGACGGTCTATAATGAGTGAGAAGCTCGAGTCCCGCTGGCTGTTTTGTTGTCAGCACCGTGTTTACATTATGTTTACATCATGTTTAAGTCTCACATCCTGCACTCTGAGTACGAGCTCTAACAACATCTGGCAGATGAAACAGAGTCCCCCGACGTAAACGTAACCTTTTGTGACGACTTCCACCTGAAGAATGTTTCTTAAGGCTGTATGAGTTGTGCTATAGCGTCATGGTGTTCATATGTTTTACAATACAGTAATCAAATAAATTAGTTGCAACCCCCCTGTCAAAAACAGCATGTTGAGATGGGAACTAAAGGGGATTGGTTTTTGGAGCCAGCCTCAAGTGGACACTTGTTTTTTTGTACTCCTCTTGTGGACTATGCAAACACCACATTTAAGCAATACATGTTACAGATATGGATGATTTGTGATCATCTCTTTGATGAATCATCCGATATCTGCAGAGACCTTGCTCATGGGATGGGCCACCCATGGGCCGAGTACTGGGACTTCCTGGACAGTTTTGTGGATCTGTCATCGGCTGAGGGGCTCCGCAAACTGGAAGAGCACCTTTGCAGGAGAGATTTTTGTCCACGGGCTCATGAAGAGACGGGGGAGAATGAGACCAGCAACAGGTTCAGAACGCCCTCTCCAGGTACCTTTGCCTGCATAACAGAGACACGTCTAGACCTTAAAGTGTTCTTTTATATTGTAGTAAGCTGATGTTCTCTCACACAATCTCGTTAGATAGAACACATACATACATACTATGATAAAATGTATATTTTACGATCGGTTCTCTCCTGTCCAAGGCAAGCCCAAAAAGTTCTGCAACTCCATCTCTGTCGGTGCCTTCCTGGATGAGGGCGACGACATCAGCCTCGAGGAAATTAAGAATCGGCAGAATGCAGCTCTCACCAGCATCACCTCCTCTGCTGCATCCAAGGACGGTCTGAAGGGAGCAGTGGGCGGCCGTGAGTTCCACATCCTGCCCATCGCACTGCACCACCGGGGGGCCGACCTGATCGAGACGGCGGCAGAGCAGGACCTGCTGTGCTGCTGCGATGACGGCATCCTGACGCCCGGCGTCGTCTGCAAAAACGGGGTGTGCTCCTCCTCCAGAGATAGGACTAACAATGGAGACAAGGTGGCCCCTCGCACCTCACCCTCCTGCCTGCTGTCCCCAATCTCCAACCTCATGGTGGAGTTTGAGCGCATGTCGCTGCAAGAGACGCTTGACAGCCCCACCGTCTGCAGGGAGAGGAGGAGCAGTGGAGGGAGCCGGCACCGGGATGTCCGTGACTCCTTCGGCTCCTCCTCAGCCACAGACCTGAGCTCTGGGCTGAACCGCCTGTCTCTCGGTCACAGCAGCCACGATGGAGAGAGCGTTGAGGCGCCAGGCTGGAGAACGGAGGGAGGAGAGGCAGAGGAGAGGCGCAGCAGCGGCAGCTCAGAGGAGTACTATGAAGCAGAGGAAAGTCTGGAGGTGCTAGGCAGGACTAGGGGGCCTGTATCAGGGGGGCGCAACATCTGTGCTAGGTCCAAATCATGGGACCACGGAGGGAGGGACCTGAGCAGCTCAGGCTCCTCTGGGTCCTCCTATAAGTCCTTAGATAGCTCCGAGTTCCTTCACAGGACCCCACCGCATATTAGAAGAGGACTGTTCATTGACGGGTGAGTCCCCATACTTTCTCTGGGTGTAGTTGTAAAAGTGATGGATAAAAATGTGAAAGGCAGGCTGTCGTTAAAGGGTTTGATGACCTGCTTCTGTAAAGTGATGATGATATCAATATTGTGTAGAAACTGTATCTATCACTGGTGTCTGTGTTTGCAGAGATTCACCAACCAAGTTGGACAGGGAGGTCTTGACAGCAATAGATGGTGCAGACGTCGACTCCCAGAAGTATCCCAGCGTTCATAAGTGGAAGAGCACAATGAAGTCGTACTCTGCTGCAGACATGCAGAGGTCAGTGGGCTTATTCTTGGGTCTACTGATATGATGACGCTGACGGGCTCTTAAAGAGGCTGATCAATTCAGTCTATCCGATAAAAGGTCAAACAGTATCAGACAATACCTGCCCTCAGGTCAGACATGCAAATAATGTGGTGTGCACTGATGTCGGTAACCGTTGTGTATTAAATGTGTCGTGTCAATTGAATGCTCACAAGCTAGTTAACCTAGCTGCAGCTTCAGTTAAGAGTGTTTTTATTGGGCTCATTCTGATGTTCTTTCAGGGTCAAAGGTGAAACAAAATGAAGGCAGTGTGGGAGTTGGAGTCTCACATCATCTGTTAGAAAGATCAGCCACATGCCGTTTGTTAGACATGTTTCAGAGACTTCAAGAAGAGAGATGACTGACAACAACTTAAACTAGGACTGTAAAACAATTTAAACTATTAATCGCTGAATTTAAATAGTTTATTTTTAACAATTGCATGTTTAAAGTTCCATAAAACGGTTAGGCTTTCATTTTGAATTTTTCTCCTGTCTTAAGCTGAGAGTACTTTACTTGCTGTGTGCTTTTATTTTGAAATACAGTAAGGACCTTCTGGTAGCTGGAAGGTTAGGACTTTAACTTAAGCACAGGAACAGGAAGTGGTTAGGGATCCCAAACTGACGGCTTAAAGGAACGGCAACAAAGGTCAATGTGTGATGTCATAAGGTCAATGTGTGATGTCATAAGGTGGATGTTACTTTGGACTCGTCAGCTGAGCTGTCTGAGAGTTTGTTAAAGTGAAATAAGACATTTAAAGATGCAGCAGTGACCTTCTTTAACATCACTGAGACTACAGGGAGACACTGAGGAGGAATATCTACAGGGAGCCTAAAAGGACAAAATAGCTTGAGATTAATCGCAATAAGAGAAAATGATGCAATAATGATAATTACAAAGAAGAATGATGAAAAAAGCCAAGCACAACCATTACAGCTGGTACTTCCGTTGCCATGACATCAGTGTCTGTCTAACATCATTGGTAGAACAGAAATCCTGTAAATGTTTCCACTGACTGGTTTTGATGTTGTGTCCTCCAGCTGGCCCAGCCCTGTGGTGGTAAAACCACGACTCAGGATGCAGCCTCAGACACCAGGCTCCCCGGTCAGCCTGATGTCTCCCAGCGGTCGCTTCAGTCCCGCCCGGCATGCTGCCTCGCCGGATTTCAGCCCCAGCCGTTACAGCCCTGCTAATGCTAGCTACATCCAGCGTATCCGCCTCAAGCACTTAAACGAGCCAACGGTCTAACCACCCTCCTCTGCCCCGCCTCCCACCGATATGGCCATACCCTCACATAACCCCGCCCCTCCCAGTACAAACCCAGCTGCACCCAGGTGTCTACGCCGGAGCTCAGAAACCACAAACCTAACAGAAATATGCACAAGTGTCTAGAAGATTTGTATTCATGCGTGGTACTCCGTCATCACGTTGGGTCGTGATGCACACTCAAGACTTTCTAAAGGAAAAAAAAAATCTTGGTCATTTAGTTACTGTTCGGCTGTGGACCATGTGGAAGCGACAGTCCTGTTATTTGTGGCCAGTGTGACGCACTTGTATCATAGCCTGAGTCGACTTTTTGAATATTGTGAAAACAAGCGGCACCCCCCCCCCCAAAAGTTAGCTCATCACTAAACCTTCGTGTGGATTAGAAGGAGTCTGTCACTGAAGATGTTCTTAAAAAAAAAAAAAAAAAAAAAAAGGCAAAATGTCAATATTTTAAAAGTTATTTTTTTGTATGTTGGTCAGTAGCACAAACAAATTAAATGTTTTTATTAATGGTGTTAAAACCGACTGCCATTTCCTATTGCCTTAATTTTCTGGAGTTGATGAACCAGTCCTCGCTCAGTCTGGACTCTCTCTCTCTAACTCGAACACAAAACATCTGGAAAGTGCGACCTCCCAGATGATTATGGCAAACATGGGACAAATGGATAAGACGGAGAGCTTCCATGATTTTATTTTGATCTTTAATAAACGCATACATTTTTTCCATTTCTTCTCAGTGGTCCCTGCACATGTCTGGGCTTTTCCTTTCTCTGCCTTCACTGGCGGCCTTAGACCGTGCAGTTGTTTTTTTTTTTTTGTTTCTTTTTCAAATATCTTCCATTCACAAGCATCTTCCACACTTTGAGTATGAATGAGGAATTGAACCTTCCCCAGAGGTTAACCCTTAAAACTGCCCACTGAGGTGACCTTAAAGCTGTATCAAGGGATCTTCGACCACTAGGGGGCAGACTGACTTTAAGCTAACGTAGCCGCAGCAGAAATATGACACCTTTATCGGGTTACTACGACCATTTTAAGAAGAAACTGCCTTATGCTTACAGAGAATTAACTGAGATTAACACTTTAGGGTGTTGATTCCTCGTGGGATCAGTATCACTCACAGCCATCTTCACTTCACTATAAGTAGTGTCATCTGAAAACTGGCGCTCACTAGAGCTTCAGTTCCCTTTAAGCCCGGCGTGTACTCTGTGTGATTGTAGTAAAGTCACGCAGAAATGTCAGCTCACACTGAATGACTGAATCGTTAACACACGACCAGAACTCACGATGTTTGTGCTCGCACTGCACGACCTGAGAGCTCATGCTGTACGACTATCGTTTCCGACACAACCAGAACTCTGTGCGTGCTCATACTGTACGACTGAATTATTCACGATGCAAGGCCAACACTCTCGATGTACGAGTCAAATAAATTTTCAAAACTTGTTCTCGCTCCCCCTCTCTCTCACACATGCTCACAAGTAATCTGCATCACCAATTAACACATGCTAACTAGCATCTAATTAGGTAACATCACACAAGAGGGAGTGATGTACTGGATATCAGCACTGTTGTGATTGGGTCTGAAGTTAATCACAGAGAACATCTCTCCCTTGAGTGTGACAACAGATCATTTGTTGACTCCACCAACTAAACTAGTTCCACAATTTAACAGAAACTAGACCGTTGCCAAGCAACCCAAACATTCTATTCTACTGCACTCTGTTGGTGTCCATGGTTACCACACCTGCTTAATGTGTTAATTAAAAGTATTCAGAACTCCTGGCTGAGGAGGAGGGATGCATATTGTGATGTTCTCCGATATCGTCACTCAGGGAACGCCTCGTCCAATCAGATTGCTTGGTCAGAACTAGCCGTTATATAAATTTTAAATATTCTGTCAACTGGAGGTCTGCAGATATCCATGCCATAGTTTCTTTCAGGATAGGAGGGGGGGGGAGAGATAATAATGGCATTCCTGCTGTTACCATGGTGATTGCAGATGCTGAGGGGAGGGTCCCAGAGTCAAGGAAGCGGCTCGTGGCTCTGCTCACACTGCAATGATGTGCGACCTAAATATCGAACATGTCAGAAATTCATCCGACTGATCCAGAGCAGTCGCCGAGCTTCAAAGTAGACTGGCTTAATTTCAGCCCAATCGCCGGGCGTCGGTCGTGCAGACTTCAAAATGAGGGACACGGTGGAATGGTGAAGTGCACGCCGGGCTTTAAGTGTTACCTGGGAGGTTTCAAATCAGCTTCCAGTAAACTCCTATTCCCATGGATACAAGGTTCTTGCCGTTCCTCCTCAACATTACGTATCTGAATGTGCAAAGACCTGTTGTATCAAATCAATTTGACCTTTGAACCCCCTGCTGTGAGGGTCTATCAGCCGTCAGTGTGAGAAAAAAAAAACACGTGTTCTGAATGTACAGTTTTTTTTTTTGTTGTTGTGAACTACACCTTTTCTGAGAGCACAAACTACGTCACTGAGAAGATTGTATCGCCGTCTGCGTGCTCTCAGGGTCACGACGGATCCTGGTCTCTGAATGTCTATGAATGTGGAACTTTTGCAAAAAAATGCACCTAAAAAACTTAAAACATACTTCTTGTGCATTTAGCATTCTGTGCTTTATTCAAACTTTCATGGTGAATTCTCTTTTCTGTATGTCTAGACCTCATTCGCTTTCAACTAACCAATAAAATGTCACTCCTACTTCACGCCCAGTGTGTGTGTGCAAGTCACTTCAGCAAAGACCTCGAACACAACCTGAGGGAGTCATCATTTTATTTACTACAGCTGCACCAAACAACACAATCCTCACTGTAGCGTCCTGCAGTGACACGCTGAGAGCTTGAACTCACTCACAACAACTTCACAAATAAACTGTTTCATTTTTTTTTTTTTGGTTTAAAAATCAGTCGTAAAAATCCTCAGTTACATTCAGAAGGAGTTGCAATGCAGCCATTAGCACTACTGATGGCCTTCTATGGCACGGAAGAAATCGCACCCACAGAGTGTCAATAAACGATCGAAAGTTTAATTACAAAAAAAACGATAACATCAACGAGTCATTTTTCAAGACACTTAAGGAGGAAACTGCGTTCTGACCCTGCGACCGACCGACCAGGACTCAGGGCTGAGTCCCAGAAAATTTTGCAACGTGTTGGGGCCGTCAGGTCCGCGTAAGTTTGTCCGGGGGCATGAATCCCGAATCTCCCAGAGTTCTGAGGGCCACCCTGCCGCTGGGGCGGATGGTGAGCCACGTGATGCTGCCGTTGTTTAAGCCCATACGTAACCATCCCTCCGGAGGGAACTGCAGAGCCCTGAGAGGAGAGAGAAGGAAGCAGCTGAGGACGAGACTCCAGGAGCAGGTGTAGAGATATTTCATAAATAACTAGAAATGAGTGAAATGGTACAAAAACTGCCTGTCAAGATTTTACATCCTTATCATAACTTACCATGTCTCTTTTAAACATATGAAAAGTATATAAAAACAAGATCGAGGCTTTCTGAAGCCCAATCTACGTAGAATCATGTCATTAAACTAATTTCCTTTCAGTATTTCATACTTTTTTATGTCTTAGTATTATTTTCATATTCACATTGAAAATCTAAATCCCGTCCTCAGGACCTCTTTATGCCCAAACGCTCGGACAGAAACTGGGAAAAGGGCTTTTGGGTATTCTGCACCTTCGGCCTGGAACATGTTGCAGTGTGCCTTGAAAGTCAAGGAGCTGGTGACCTTAAATGACCTGGAAGCAAATTGTACAGGATGTCGATGTTTTGAGCTCGACAGCTTGAACTACTGACTTCCAGATTTGACTCAAGGATGTTTTAGTAAATCATATTTTAAAAGCTGACTTTAAATGGACTCTTGAGCTCATTACAAGATGGGGAACAATAAACTCTAAAGCACATATTCAATAAATAAATCATATGAAGAACAACCGCAGAAGAGTTTAAATACAACGGTTGGCAAAGCTAGAAGGCCACAGTCCAGTCTCAGCTGACTGATGACCTCATTGTCCAGCGGAAACACTAACCTGCAGACAAAATAGCGGATGACATTGGCATGACACACGATGATCTCGTAGCTGTCCTCCTTCTGCTTGGGGTCGGCACGGTGGATGTAGCGGCGGAAGGCTGCCTCGATGCGAGCTCCATCTTCGTGGTACTGCTGGAGGAGGGTAGAGAGGTTTAAAGGCCACTTTGTCACAGAGTCAATACATGATGCTGCAGTGCATTGTGGGGAATGTAGTAGGAGATTCCAAAATGGAAGAGGGCTGCTCTCTGATGCACCAACTTTAAGTAATTCACTTCACTACAGAGGTATTCAACAATGTGACGTTTCCACTGGTTGTTTTCAGGACTAATAATCCTGTTCTTGAATCATTTAGTGTCTTCTTCCAGTTATGGAAGGAAGCGGGGTCGGTGGATTGACCAGGAAAGATGCAATCTGCAGCTAACGATGAACCACAAACAACCTTTACGCGGAGCTGCTTGTTCCATCGTGTTTACCAAACCCTTTAGGGCCTGTGTCCACATGCAGCGCTCTTTGCTAGTTTTCCATACAAAACCAATATAATTCAGCGTTTTCAGCACTCCGCGTAAGCTGTTTTTTCTCGCTGCGCTCACAGCCTTATCAGTTGAAAACATGTTTTCAATTTTGGAAAAGGGCCGTGCTCTTCAATGTCACTTCTCCCTCACTGACCAATCAGAATCAAGAAGGGGCGGGACATACAATATCAAGCTTTGTCAACAACAATAGCGGGAGGAGACCAGAGTCTGACTCGTCTTTTTGAGGGAACGGTTTCCAGGTAGAGCTGCTGCTGGTGTCAGGACACGACTCTTTGTCATATGTCCTTAAATTAAAGCAAATATTAATCACCTATCTGAAACACACCTAACAGACATTACAGAGGGAAGCAGAAGTTAGCTTTTGTAACTAGCAACAACAAGCGCTGGTGAGAAGCATGATTTGTTGACTGATGGCGTCACCATGACGACATGTGGGTTTATATGATTCAACAGAAAGATTGATCCTTAGTGGGGTGACTTCTTTAACTGTTGGCCTCTTTCAGAAAGTCCTGAAACAATGCACTGACGTATTGTCTGATTTCCGCAGCATTAGACCGGACCGCCTGCACAGACGGCGCTCAGAATGGTTATAGAATTTCTCACCACAGCATCGGGCTTCCAGTGAGTGACCGGAGGAACTGGCTCGATGGGTGCACCCTCTCTCAGCAAATCACAGCGCAGCAGCTCCACTCCTGGACCCGTACGAGATCGGAGACAAGAACAAAATGTTAATATCCACTTTGTCAGAATGTCTGCATCAGCTAGACCTACGAGTAAAGTACGTTTCTAAACTGGAGGAGGTGAAACACAAAGACAAACAGAAAGAGAAAGACTTTCATGCGTCCACTACCTGTGAGGTGTTTGCTGATGATGTTCGCTGTCTCTGTGGCTCTGGCCATGCTCGAGTGGACCAGAACATCGTACTTCAGCCCCAACGCGGCCAACCGCTGACCCGTCAGCTCAGCCTGCTCACGACCTGGGGACGAGGACAAAGTGGACATTGTGACAAATACACGCCATCACCTCACCTCGCTCAAACTGAAATGACTCTTCAAATTGTGTTTGATGTAAAGTGAACAAAGACCTAACGGCGTGAGGATCCTCTCCTTGTCGTTGCTCCCGCTCAGGTTGTACTGAGAGTGCCTGATGAGGAGGATGTTCCGTGTAGCTTTGGGTTTGCCGTTGTCCTGCTCCGAGCTGGGGTCTTCGGCTGCGTTGTCTTTCTTCTTCCCGTTGGTCAGTGCAGACGGGTCTCTCCTGAACAGGGTTAAGACTCTCAGATTAAAAGAGGCTTTGTCTCACATGGTTAACTTTAGGAGTAATGCCCGGGCTGACTAAGCTCCGAATAGGATGACCCATGGGACGGCAGAGTCTGATCTCTGACCTCGTTTATCAGAAGTCAATTTTAAAACAGTGGAAAGACAAAAGAGGCCCCTTCTCTACTTTAAAAAAAGATGTTATCTGAAGCAGGCTGAAATCTACTAAACAAGCTGTGACATGGCTGGAGGGGGAAGCAGTGGAGAATACAGGACAGGGACTTAAGTGAGGTGTGTGTGTGTGTGTGTGTGTGTGTGTGTGTGTGTGTGTGTGTGTGTGTGTGTGTGTGTGTGTGTTAGATATATGCACAGATTGGTTGACAGATGTTTGACAATGAAAACAAGTCAGTTTGTTCAACAGGTGATTTCATCTGCTCAATAAAAACATCTCTTCTCTGAATCATCAGTAAGATTAATGCTAACTGGACTTGAACTTGTTTAGCGCTTCTCTAGTCTTCTGACTCCTCAAAGAGTTTTCACACACAGGTCACACCTACACATTCACACACTGATGGTAGAGGCTGCTGAGTAAAGAGACCATCAGTATTAACTCATCCATTCATACACATTCACACACTGATGGTAGAGGCTGCTGAGTAAAGAGTCCATCAGTATTAACTCATCCATTCATACACATTAATACACCGCCACCGAAGCAGCGGGAGCAACTTGAGGTTAAGTGTCTTACCCAAGGACACATCGGACATGTAGCTGCAGGAGCTGGGGATCAAACCCTCGACCTTTAGGTTGACAGACGACCATACTGAGACACAGCCGCCCCAAACGGTGTACTAGATGTCAGAACTAAATTGATTTGGCACAACAGACAAACATCGGCTCATGTCACATTATTTGACGATGTCTGTCAACAGTGCCAATATCACCTGATACCAAATCGATGAATCCCTCATACATTTATATATTGATAGATGAATGAATGGGATAATGTATGGGAACGACCTCCCTGAGGAGATAAGCCTCGCAGACTCCCTCAATTCTTTTAAATCCCTTCTTAAAACATACTTTTACAGACTTGCTTTTATGTGATGTCGTCTTCTTAATGTCTTTTCTTACTGGTTTTACTATTTTTATCTTCTTCTACTTCTTACTGTCTTTTATTTATGGTCTTATCTCGTATTTATGCTCATATCTTAATCTCCTCTTGTGTTTTAACTTGGTAATTTCTTATCTTACTTACTTTGTCTATTTATGTTTCGTATTTATAGTTAATTTTTATTTTTATTAATATTATAGTTTTGGGTTTTTTGATCCTTTAACCACTTGTTTTTATTTCCTTTACTGCGCTTACCTTCTCATTGCTTTTTATTTGCTTTTATCTTTTAGTTTCTTACATCTTTTTAAATCTTTGGTCCTCTTGGTCTCAGCTCATGTTGTTGGGTTCTTGTGTTCCTGGGTTCTTATGATGGTTCTTATGATGGTTGGGTTATATATGTCTGGTTGTGTATCGTGCACTTTGGGTTCTTTTCTGTTGAATTGTTTTTAATTATTTTTGGTATTTTGCATCTGTTATATTCTTACTGTTGTTAATGTTTTTCTGTGTTAGGTTTGCTTTGTTCTTGCTGTTTGTCAAAGCACTTTGTAAACCTGTGTTTTTAAAAGGTGCTATATAAATAAATAAAGTTATTATATTAGTTTTTTATTTGGATTTATTCTGTCTTTGTGTGTTTCCTCTTGGGGTTTAACTGTACAAAAGTGTCATCCTGTTGCCACTCTTAAATACTGAAAACAAAGTTATTTGTTGTGTTAAAAGAGTGTAAGTAAGACATAAATAAATAACTTAATTCTTTAAAAATATAAAGATCAACACGTCCTAATCCTTTAATATCCCTCCTCTGTGGATGTCGTGCTTCTGAATGGATGAATATTTGACAGAGATTTGTCCTGGTGAATCAAACACTAACACGTACTTGTCCCAGTTGAAGTCCCAGCTGTGTCCTGTCGGGGCCGGTGTGTGGCTGCCGGGGCTCCACGCCGGCTGCGCAGCTTGCAGCACGGTGAACCTCGACCACCGACCGCTCGGCTCCCCGAAACATCCCCGAGAATCAGCGGCGGCGGCGGCGGCAAACACGAGTGCGGCAGAGCCTCCAGCTAAGCCACAAATCAGTCTCAAAGTCCTCCTGGACGACATGACGCCGAGGAAACTAAAAGTACGGCTAGCTAATTAGCTTCAGTGGTTCACCGTTGTTATCAAAGCGTAAAGCTCCCTAACCTCACAAATGTTTATCTTTAGTCAGACGGTGTTGAAAACAGATTACACCTGCCGCAGAGTTAACACACACACACACAAACACACACACACACCTGAAGCGGCACAAATTTCCTCCGGGCGGTGTCTCTCTTAGCTGGACACTAAAACCCGAGTCGGCCCCATCATGCTCAGCACAAGCTAATCCAAGCAATTTCCTACAAACATTACGGTGTCCCGCACAGAACAAACCAAACGGAGATCGCGTTTTTTTAATTTATAATTCTGACATTTGCCACTTGAGGGCGCTCCAACCCTTAACTCCAGTGGTGTGCAACTTATTTTTCACTCTCCAAAGGGTAAAGATAAAGATAAACTTTATTGATCCCCGTGGGGGAAATTTTTGCATTACAGTAGCTCAAGAAAACAGGGGACGGGAATATAATTATTAAAAATAAAAATAGAAGTTAAAAATCAAATCAAACATATTTACATCAGTTAAATAAAAAAATACAATAATAAAAAATTACACGGTATCTACACTTCCACTTGTGGAAAGAGTTATTGTTATTAAAAACACACACAGTGTGTAGCATTACTGAAATGAGTCATGAGGTGGTGATGCTGTTAAAGAGTCTGATTAAACAGTCTGATGGCAGATGGGATGAACGACCTGCAGTAGCGCTCTGTCTTGCAGGGTGGGTGTCTCAGTGGGTATACCCACTTCTTAATATCCTCTGATTCATACCAATGACTAATTAAAAATATTTAATAGTATGCTAGATGTTTTTTTGTCCTTGAATGGTAAAGGAATAACCCTCCCTACTCTGTCTCTAATTGGCTAGTATGCAACTAAATATGCAAGAGTAGTCTTACATGTCACTGTTTATAACAGAGGCCATTTATACTCTGTTGGACGAGTCACTTAAAAAACATTTTTTTTTGGGGGGGGGGGGGGGGGGAATTAGAGTACAGTATACCCACTTCTTTAGACATCACTACACCACTGCTTAAATCCACACTAGAAAGTACAGGGAGTAATAATAACCCAGGACTTTAAATAATGAAGGAGTGACTTGAAATGTTTTGTTTTAAAGGCTCTTGTGACTCAGTTTTACTTGCAATACTTCTCCTGACAACAAATACCAGAAAACTTTAAATAAGATTTAAATAAAATTCTTAATGTCTTCTCTTACTGGTTTTACTATTTTTATCTTCTTCTACTTCTTACTGTCTTTTATTTATGGTCTTATCTCGTATTTATGCTCATATCTTAATCTCCTCTTGTGTTTTAACTTGGTAATTTCTTATCTTACTTACTTTGTCTATTTATGTTTCGTATTTATAGTTAATTTTTATTTTTATTAATATTATAGTTTTGGGTTTTTTGATCCTTTAACCACTTGTTTTTATTTATTTTACTGCTCTTACCTTCTTATTGCTTTTTATTTGCTTTTATCTCTTAGTTTCTTACATCTTTCTAAATCTTTGGTCCTCTTGGTCTCAGCTCGTGTTGTTGGGTTCTTGTGTTTCCTGGGTTCTTATAATGGTTCTTGTGATGGTTCTTATGATGGTTCTTATGATGGTTCTTATGATGGTTCTTGTGTTTCCTGGGTTCTTATGATGGTTCTTGTGATGGTTGGGTTATATATGTCTGGTTGTGTATCGTGCACTATGGGTTCTTTTCTGTTGAATTGTATTTAATTATTTTTAGTATTTTGCATTTGTTATATTCTTACTGTTGTTTATGTTCTTCTGTGTTTGGTTTAGTTTGCTTTGTTTTTGCTGTTTGTCAAAGCACTTTGTAAACCTGTGTTTTTAAAAGGTGCTATATCAATAAAGTTATTATTATTATTATAAGAGTCCATCCCAATTTAAGGCCCAGTCCCTTTTATTAGCCTGGTGTTATCTGTTCCTGCAGGGGGCTCTGGAGGTTCATCAGCAGCAGTCACCATGTTGGAAATCCTGTCTCAGTCTAACTTTCAGACAACCTAACAACAGGCTGAGAGCTGGAGCTGAGGCGGGTTTTAAACCTCTAACTGTTACATCGTGCCCACCTGTCAATCATGTCAGCTACACGCCTAACTATGAATAACACGTATCCTTCATAAAATCAGAACCAGAGCCATTTAAAAAAAAAAAATCACCCCCCGTACAGTGTGTGCAAGTAATGATAATTGTTAATCAGACCTATTTTGTTTTTTTGTACCAGGCTGTAAACATTTTAATTTACGCTGTAAAAACTGCTTTTCTGCCAGTCATGTGTATGTGACTTCTGGTGTTCTTGGAGCCAGCCTCAAGTGGACACTCGATGAACTGCAGGATTTTGCTCTTCTGCACTGGCTTCATTTTTCAAGACCGGAGGTTGCCGCTTGTGATGAACTCTTGTTTGAGGGGCCCCTGTACATTTTTGCCCGGGGTCTAAACATGCTCTAGAATCGCCACTGCCTCCATATTGGACATATGAACTCATTATAGCGACTTAAATGTACTAGATGCCTTAAGATGCACACCAACTATACCGAAACATACTAATACATATTTTTTTTAAGTAACTCAAATGTTGTAGCATTAAAAAAAAAAAAAACTTGAAAATCTTTTTTTCAATCTTTAAAAAATGTGGATAAAGGAAGAGCCTCGAGACTCTGAATTACTTCAATTTTACATTCATTAAAGCCCCCAAATTAAGTTTAATTTTAAATATTGTATTTCCATTGATTTCATTTTGATTCATTTCGAAATATAATGAATTCTTGTATCGTTGTTTTCTGTTTTTTTGTGTTATTTTGTCTTCTAAATATGCTGCTTGGAGTAATTAATGAAAGGTTCAACTGTTTTAAAGTCTGTTTGTTTAATGGAAAATGCTGAATGCAAATAAAAAACAATACCAAACATAGAGGTGAATGTGCTTAATTGTTTGGTCGTGTGTTTGCACGTTTAAGCATAAATAATGATAAAGTGAAAGATTGTAGGTAAACTGTGTTTGCTCTCTGAACCTGTCCATCCACAGCAGAGCAGCTCAGCTTCCCTTTAACACTATCATTGATCGAGTCTGTATGAGCGAGGTAGGTGTGTAGGCATTTTAGAAATCTCCTGTTCCAAAAGCGATCAAATATAAAAGCTGTCACCAGTATTGGATTGTCTGCCTCCGATCACTCCCTGGTGGAGCCCCTCGCAGACTCTGCTCCATGGATGTGTTATAGGACGTCTTATAGGAGCTCTGCTCAGAGGCTCCACCTTTCCGAGCGGTTCAGTGACCTCACCAGTGGGCAGGATTTCCAGACTCTCTCTCTCTCTCTCTCTCTCTCTCTCTCTCTCTCCCTCTCAGAGAGCTCCGTGTGTTCCTGCTTCTATCCCAGGATCTATGCGGCTCCAACGACAGGAAAGACGGACTGGTGATTGTAGCCAAAACAAACGCCTTGCTCCTGCAACACTGGATCTTTTTTTCTACATGCGCCTCCAATCGGAATAAATAACTGAGGAATGTGGAAATTACAGAATGCCCAACAGCGCTGGAAAGAGATTTAAACCCACCAAATACATCCCGGTGTCCACTGCTGCCACACTCCTGGTGGGATCGACCACTTTATTTTTCGTTTTCACGTAAGTTTGCTCCGCTTCTTCTTCTCTCTCTCTGGTTCGCTGCATTGCCGGTGTTTTGACACACCGTGTGTGTCTACAGATTACACAGGCTGGAGTGGATTTGCAGCCTGAAGTTTGCACGGGTGGGTTCAGTCACTTGTGTGGAATAAGGTGGTGTTATAGTAACACGTACATCTATCCCGAAGGAGAACCTTGTTGCAGTAATGGGTTTGCGCGTCAGCCTCAGATTAAGCATTCAGCCATTATAACTGCAAGGCAAACTTCATTAAAACCGTGCAAGTTGTGCAAGAGCAGCGCTGGGATCACTGCTGGAGACCTCTAGTGTAGGCCTGGATACTCTCTGTGCCACAGGGAGTCATTCCCGCACACTGGGGCCGGGATAGTTCCAGGGTCACAACCTTTCAACAAGGCTTATAATCGTCCTAAAGTTACAGAGGCCCCAGTTAGGTGCCATGGACTCTACCACCATGTCTCACCTTTTGGGTAAACAATCATCAAGTGCTCCTCTGGAAGAAATAAAGTCTATGGACAACCTCATAGGGCTGGTAAATATATCGAGTCTTCAATATATAGGGTATCAATGTACTTTCAAACGAGATACAACAAGGTACTGTGATAACGTTTAAATCCATAAAATTTCAATCTTCTGTAGAGCTGCCAGTTCTCTTGTTTCTCCTCTCACAGTCCGCCTCTCTTCACCTGCTCCTCGTCTCTCCCTCTCTCAGTGAAACTCAAAGAAACACCTGAGTAACTAAAAACTCAGCTGTTTGTATTTTGTTATTCAGGATAGGAACTTTTGTATCTATTTAATTTAATTCAAGGAGCAAACAGGAAGTTTATTATCGTGTACATGTTGACATTGTGTTGCTTGTTGTTAATAGACGTGTCTGTGTGACGTTTGGCATTCGGCTCATGTGGATTTGACTGAGAACTGATTTTGATTTTATGTCTTTAGAGTAGATTTATATCGTGTATCGTTATCAGCTAAAAAATATGGAGATGTGATTTTTGCTCCATATCACCCAGCCCTACCTCTCATCAAGGCAAACAGGTTTCTACTCTCTCTAAGGCAGGCTTTAATCCAGTCCAGGTGCTCTGACAAGCAGGTGTCAGTGGTTCAGTCAGGATGATTACACAGCTTATCAGCCCCCCCCCCCCCCCCCCCCCCCCATGTAAGACGTTTCATCCACAGGTCACTCTGTCTAAAGAGAGATGAAGTAACAGTGCAGAGCTGAAGAGGGGCAGTCTGAATCATCAGACCCTCGGGTGAATGGATCATCAGTGAAATGAAACCATATCAACCTTTCTTCTGTGACTCTGAGTGCAGAAGTTGTTTTGGCGACCTCTGACCTGGATTGAGGAACCTTTAGGAACAGACTCTCCACTCTTTGGCTGACTCATTTTCATCTTTCTAGGTTTATACCTGCTGAATCTTATTTTCTCCTCCCTCGTTATGTTTAACAGTATTTTATAGATGTAATGTCTCGTTGGCTAATCGGACATGACTGTCTGCATAATAAGAGATTTCTTTCTTTTTAAGGAAATATTCACTTTGAGTATTTTAAAACCAGGGCCGACCTACACAGGGTTGTGAGCGGCACCTGATCACAGTTGGTCCATTGAAAGTGCTCAAATTGTGATTCTGAGTGTCTAACAGTGTTATAGAAAGGATCCCTACAGCTGTTTCATTGCTCTATTTAAATTTATCCCTAAATCCCCATTTAGGGATCAAGATCAAGTCAAGACCAAGACCAAGACAGGGCGAGGACGAGACAAGACCAGAAATATGACAGAAAAATCATCATCTTAGTGTAGGGGGCGTGTCACTCACTTAGACCACAACGCCTGGAAGGTTGCAGTCGTAAACGGGGGATAAAAATCAAACTATGAATGAATTGAAGTTTTTTGTTGTTTTAGAAAGAAGGGTTTACCTTCTAATCACAGTGATGACGTGGAAAGATCAGTGGTGGTCTTGATTTAAAATACAGAGTCCACCCAGTCTGAGAAAAGACAGAGACCTCCAAAAAGTGGTCTAGAGACCGCTGTTGGATTTTTTTATTTTAATTTGGGTTGTTATAGGACTCCGGTGTTTAAATGGTACACAATAAAACACCAACTAACTAACTGGTGGAGGCAGCTTTACTCCTTTGTTCTCACACAATCTGCAAGCTTAAATGACTGTGTGCATCAATGAAGTCAGGTGGAGAAGGTTTTTCTATCTTTTTGCCACTTCAAAAATGTTTGAAAATGGGCCAGATTAAATCAAAACTGCCCCTCCAACTATCAGCTGTTGTGTACCTAAGGTGGTGTGTTTTGTTGCCCTGTATTTGAACGATGCAGATGCCGAATGTGTTCTTTCTGCTTGTGTGAGACAAATGCAGGAAAACACAGAAAATGTTTGATCTGCCCCCCCTGAGTGGTCTCAGGTCAGCGACTGAGACTGAAGGGAACATGTGGTGTTCGTGGGCTGTGTTGGTGAGTTGGATTGTAGCTTTAAAAAAAAAAAAACCCACAGCACTCCTCGGCCGTCTCTCTTGGGGGGTTTGCATAAACAAATGGCCTGATTTGCACGTCCTGATGGAGAATGCATGTGTTGTGATTTCATAAGACATTTTCCCTTTCAGACATTTTCTTGGCATATGGAGAAAGTCAGAATTTCTGCCGCCTAAAGCGTTTTTTTTGTTTGTTGATGTTGTTGTTGCTGGGGCTCACTTCAATGTACACATTAAGGTTCAGCCCCCAGCAGATGGTTCATGGGTGAGGATTAAGACTTTACTCTGTTGCTCCTTCATTTCACTGTAAAAGGTCCAGAGGATTGAGTAGCGTATAATGGAACCCCCCCCCCCCGGGGAGCTGTGCATGACCAAACTAGGCCACGTTTGACACACACACACACACACACACACACACACACACACACACACACACACACACACACACACAGTCCATTATGTTGAACCTGCAGTCTTGCATTGTCTTTGGCTGCACGGCAAAGCTACACATTTACATCACAAGCCACATAACAGTTGGTCTGATACCTTTTATCTCAAATTTGCAACAAGTGAACACAAGTAGAAGCCCTATTTGTGCAGCAGCAACTTTGTTTAGAACGCACAGGCATGTAAGGGTTAAACCTAAAGCGCTATACTCGTCCATCATGAACACTCGAGTTCGGCGGATTGCCAGGGACAGGGATCTTTTTTTATTCCTTGGCTGCGGTGTGTTAAAGGTCTCACTGATGCCAGCAGGCCACTTTGTGTCATACGGGCAATCGAGGATGAGTCCTGGCTCACACACACACACACACACACACACACACACACACACACACACACACACACACACACACACACACACACACCCTGTGTTACTGTGTTGGCTAACTGATGCCTGACAGTTTGTGTTTCCCACAGAGATTGAATTAGAACACATTAGTACATAATTATTTATATCTCCACAGCATGACCGCGACTCATCGTAAAAAATACAGATGACAAATGAAGCTTTTAGTCATGGGTAAACCGTCATAATATCATCCGGGCCTTATCTGGCTCTGTAACCAGATTCTGTTATAACCTACATCTCATCTAAATTAGCCCCAGCGCTGAAAAAGATTTCTCCCTCTCTGTTGAGTAAAGCCTCAGAATGGCTTCATCACTGCCCTTGACTGTATGCCAGATGAATAACCTGTTTAGGAAACTGATCTGCCACGCTTGCCATTATCATTTGTAGCCATGCTAATAGTTCATACCTTAGAGTAGGTATGGATAAATGTGTGGAAAACATCAATTGGTCATCTAGAGAAAGGCCCGTGTTCAGCAGTTTTGGCTGAGTGGAGGTGAATTATGAGAGAGGCAGTGAGTGTATCACCAGGCTGAGCGCAGCGCTGGAAACAGGAATCTAATCTTCAGCTTCCACATCTGTTTCCTCCTTTTCACTGTACGTCCATTCAATCAGACTTCATTCAGCGCGCCCTGAATGAAGTCTGAATGGGTGGTTGTGCTCCACTCAGAGGTTCCTGCAGGAGGTTTTTTTTCTAGGTGTTTTCCAGTCAGAGTATGCAGATGTTGAAATATGGGTGAGGCAAAACAAGTGCGCCAGTCAAATATTCTTGGTTATGTATTTTCTGATCTCTCAGTTGGCACCACTCTGGGTGTCAGAAGCATTATGGTTTCTATTTGTAGTCCATGCAGTATCACCCAAAAGCATTTTAGCAGGCACTGGATATACAGTATATGTTCAACAGTGAATCACTTCGTTGTGCGATTCAGGATCCTATCAGCAGCCACATCACCACCTTTATTAAAAGCTGACCTTTTATGCTGATCCCCATTTTAAAATGTGTCTATGCTGGATGCCCATACCATAATGTGGGCAAAGTTTCAGTTCATGAGGTAAAAGTATGTTGGAGTAATCCCTGTATAAGTCTGCAGGGGGCGCTAAACAGCTTGTGCAAATCACAAAATAGTTCTCCGATATGAAAGAAAGAATTTCACGAGACGGCCTCAGAGGCTCTCTTCTCCCAGCACTGGAGAGCAGCCCTCCCCTGGCAGCCCTGCAGCGTTCTGCCCGCCGGAAGGCTTCCTAAGAGCTGGTCAATCAGAAGAAAGTGGGCAAGTGGGGAGGGGGCCCTTAAAGAGACAGAGACCTCTTTCTGGTCACCTGTCCTGTCTGTGGTCACTCACCCTCTATGTGGTCGTCTGTCCTCTCTGTGGTCACCTATCCTCTTTGAGGTCACTTGTCCTCTCTGTGGTTACTCGTCCTCTCTGTGGTAACTCGTCCTCTCTGAGGTCACTCGTCCTCTCTGTGGTCACTCGTCCCCTTTGTGGTAACTCGTCCTCTCTGTGGTAACTCGTCCTCTCTGTGGTCACTCGTCCTCTCTGTGGTAACTCGTCCTCTCTGTGGTCACTCGTCCTCTTTGTGGTCCCTGGGTCCTGTCTGTGGTCACTCGCCCTCTATGTGGTCACCTGTCCTCTTTGAGGTCACTCATCCTCTATGTG